GTATTATTATTAATACTGGAAAAAAGGATGGAGATTTTTCTGGGCACTTTGTGTTCATGTTTCCCATGAAAATGTTAGATAAGTCCTTTGGTACCTTAGCAGACCATACTATGCACGCTGAAAGGAATGCCTTGAACTTAACTATGCCCAGCACTTGTAGAACTCTTGGAGCACCTGTCCCCAATAACTGGTCACACTGTTTTCGTCTACTTTAGTACACAAAGGGCCTCAGGCAGAGAAAGGATTTCCCTATTGCCTGCTTACCTGTTTCTTTGATTTGGGGATGTCCAGCAGTAGTATGGGGACTTTATGTGTGCATTTTGCATGCAATCTACTACTAAGCCATGATTTCTCTCCAAGGAAACATTCATACTTAATCAATCCAATGAAAATCCATTTCTGCTTGGCACTGTCTCTTCCTTGCTTTGGTGCAATTTTAGCTGAATAGTGTTGAGCTGTTAGGACAGTTTTCTTGTTGGTGATCATTTTATAGTATCAGTGAAAATGTAGCATTGCCCTTGTTGATCTAGTGCTCCTACAAAACAATATGTAATGCTCCTTACTTGGCCAGAAATTAACACACACAAGCAGCATAGTCTTCCAAATGAGTTAAATACATACAATTTATGTTCCAAGGAAAGAGCAAACTTACAGCTTTGTAAATGGTGATCCTACAACCATTACCTGCATTCAGATGTGCTTGTCACATGGTTTCAAAATCAAACACTTCCCACAAAGGCAAGTCCTAAGTTTGATAACAGGATATCACATCCCTGTAATTTACTGTGGAACAAGATTGCTTAACAGCAATATAATTGCTAGGATGGGGTGTGCACCCACAGTGATTCAAGGTACCCATATGCTTGCAGCTGCAGTTTTCAGCAAGAGTGGAAACAGCTACTTACTTCTTGCATTTGGGGCTTGACTGAAAAAGTTCACTAGCAGGTATTGCAGAAGTTATCTGATAGCCACAGAAGTCTGCGGCTCCCCTTGGCATGGTTTCATGGAGCTAAGCAGCTCTGCACTCTCCATATCTCAGCAAAGAAAGTGCTAGTATCAGAAATGTCTCTTATTCATAGCTGTACTTCGTAAAGGAGGCAAAACACTGCTCATTTGAAAGTTTTTTTGCAGTGAAAACAGAGGATGTAGGAACCCCTTTCAGAGTTGGCTCTTTCTTTTCTGCTTGTCTTTCTTTTTAAGGTGGAGGAAGTTATCTTTTTTCCCTTTTTCTTTTCTTAGTTTTTAAAACAATCTCTGTTCAATCTGTGGGGGAAGAGTTGAGTGAGAGCTCTGGACTGAGACTAAAGATGAGATCTCACATCAGCTACTGGAATATTCTCAGGTGCTCCTGTGATATTCATCTGTGAACTTGTCTTGACCTTTACCCCAGGACAGCCTTCCCCAACCTGGACATGTTGAGTTACAGTTCCCATCACTCCCAGCCGTTGGCCATGCTGTATGAGAGTTGTAGTCCAGCACACCTGGAGGACGCCCAGCTGGGCAAGGCTGCTGTCAGAGCTTCATTTACGTCCAAATGCCGTGTTTGCACATCATCAGCAGTTGTACACAGGGATTGCCATATTCCCAAGTAGATTTTACTCATTGCGTCTGCTTGGTTTTGTATATCCTACTTACATGTATATGGACTTTGAAAGAAGCCCGGGAGTTAGCAGTATTGCCAATGCCATACTAGAACATGAGGACAAATGCATAATTTAGTTGCTCATATTCAGTATTATAGCCAAGATACCAACAATTCTTTTTAGCCTTCCTTCTTAGAATTACAGTTGCTGGAGGGGGTGTGTGCATGTCGGTACCATAATGCCTTTACTCTCTCGTGGATTGTGTGGGAGGGAATAGGCCATATCCATAGTGGAAGTAGATGGAGAAATGTTGAGGTGAGATGGAGGGAGCATTGTACAAGTCTGTTATTTCTTTGTATATCTTTTGATTGCAAACCTAAGCCAGTAGTTTGTAATATGTAGAATTTGTTTGAATGAAGGAAGGAGGTAGACATAGCTTTACGATCATAATAACATTGTCTGGGAGCAGTACTGAAGAATTGCAATGTTAGTGCAGCCCAGTGATATATACAAACCAGCATCTCCTCCCCGCCCGCCCAACCCTACCATAGTAATTTGATGCCTAATATTAATTGCCTAATATTTCCAAATATTGCTCCACCTTCATAGAAGTAAATTTATGCAGCATTGCCAGTATGTATATTGTTGGGACATTGATGCGCAATATATGGTCCGAAATTGTACTTGTCACCAAATTGTAATTGTACTTGTTTGAGGGCCATGCTTGTCTTTCTAAAAATATTCAACCAGTTGAATCAATTTGATAAAATAACTAAAATGGAGGCCAAGAGGAAGAATTTGGAAGATTCCATTTTTATTTTAGACTTTACCACAGTTATGTTCAAACTGGGACAGGCTGCAATTAGCCTTAACTTTGGTTAGCCAAAACAAGCCAACTTTAAGCCTTGGTTTCACCTAACGACCTAGTTTGCATGTAACAGCAGTTCATGGGTTGTTTAATGCAGGAATTGCCAGTATTTAATGAGAGCAAACAAGTGTGCTGCCACCTGAATTCAGTAACCAAGAGTTGTTTGGTGATTAAAAACCTCAGTGCTGGACCAACAGCAATTACTAATCTAAAGCAGAAGTAATGTACATGGGAGGTAGTGCACTTGCTCGCTGCCTTTTGGCCTCAAGAACCCATGAGTTGCCCCACATGCAAAGTGAATTACTGCTAAACTCCAGTTAATTGCCAGCTTTGCCACAGCACTCATGCCCCAAGCTTGTGCTATTACATAACAATATAAACAGTTATTATTATCTCCAAGCCAAACAAATATATGTAGAGTTGGTGAAAATAAATCGGGTATTACTAATCTTTTAAAATTCACCCTCATATTTGTACTTTATGGTATACAGGAAATCTAGATTGACCTGGAATGCTGAATTTAGTTTTGATAAGTTTAATGGATTCTCATGCTGTTTCTAAAAATTTTATTTCATCTTTTGACCAATGCTCACATTTGTGGAAAAATTTGTACAAGTTGTTTAAAAGGTCTTACTTCTTCAAAAATTGAATGACTTGAACTAAGATCCAAAAAATTTAATTGTAAGTTATTAGAATAGTGATATGTCAAAATGAGCCGAGTAGCATTAATATAAGGAGTTCTCTTAGCCCTAGGTTTGCAAAACTTGTTGATCTTCCTAGAAGTTATTTTCAGATGTCATCTCTCATGAAAAAAGGCCCAGAAGCTGCTTAGTACTTCCAGGCCAAAATGCAGGAATAGAGTTGTTTTCTGTTGTGACTCCCTCAGGACAGCCTAAATATGCTATTGATTTTTTTGAGCATCTCTGTGTCACCCATTCATGCACTGAAAGCATTGTGAAGTCCTCAGTCCATTGTATTATAGCAGGTGATTGTTCAGCCTTCCAGTGTTGTATCTCTGTTAGCTGTCACAAGGGTACAAAGAATCCATTTACACTGACCATTTGTTAATTTCCATCAAGCAGTTCAATAGTTTAAAAGACTGTGCAGATGAGTGAATGCTAAAGACTGTTCCAGTACAAAATTTAGCTGTGTAATAGTGTAATAAATACAAAATTTAGCTGTGTAATAATTTCCTCCCAGGAAAAAGCAACTACTGGACATTAGCAAAACATATGCTTAAAAGAAGCATTGACGGCATTGCACTGTTGACAATTAAATGAATCAGACAATTCCTTTTTAAAGAGACACTGCAGTGTCTGATAGCCATGAAACTAATGGTTTTTGCTGAATAAGATGCAGCCTAAGATTCTGTGATGCAGCAGCTAAAGACCAAAGTAGTGACCCACTATGAGGAATTTGTGGTGGTGCACACAGTACTTTCTTAAATTCCCAAGAGGTCCAAAAGGCTGAAAACTCCCAGTACAGAATGTGTGTTTGTGGCATTCCTACTCACAAATAATGCCCATAATGATTGACTACAGTGCCTGACTGCTTACATAGGATAGTAGTACGCTGTGGAAAAGCAGCCGGCTGGGGTGAACCAATCTTTGTTTATGACTGGCTGCATCAAAATGAATCTTTCTTTATTACATATAATCAGATGAGGTAGCTATTTCTAGCCCCCTGCATGACTTCTGCCTATGTTAACCGTGACACAAAGCAAGGACTATATTTTTGTCTCTGTTGTTTCTGCGCTTTGTACAACCATTCTGACATCATCTAGAGTGTCGTCTCCTATACCCAGAGCCTCTAGCAAGGCCTGCCTTATTTCCTCCCAGTGTTCCTCTGGCCCAGATCACCAATTTGCTCTACCCTTCAAATATTTTTATGCAAATTAAAACTCAAATATATAATGTACACATTTTAGAAAAATTGAAACAGCATTTATTAAACATGAATTAAAATGACACACTCCATGATACCAATTCCCAAGTAATAGATAAAATTTTAAAAGTACATTGCTACAAAATCACTGCTTCTGCTGATGAACTATGTGATTATTAACATGTAATGACACAGAAGGGGGAAATGAGGCAGTTTATTACAGTTTATAGCATATAATGTGGTATATTAAAAAAAATCAATTAGGAGAAGAAACTGCCGTTTTCCTATTATTTCCATTAAAAAGTAGCTTTCCCAATTTGGGGCAGGGGCAATCCTGCAACTGAATAGTTCTGACTTGGAACAGTAAAGACATAATTTTACTGTGGTGACAACATCTTGCATAGTATTCAGTAGCAGGCATTTTTAGGGCTGCACGTGGCTGAGAAAAAGAAAGGAGACATTTGGCCTGTAATTATCAAATTCTTTTGTTTGAAATAAAATTGCATGTCATTTATCTGGAATCCTTATTTGGTTAAAAATCTATCCCTTGGGCCAAAAGAATCTACGTTTTGTATAGGTTACCCACTTCCTGATGTCTACTGGTGTATTGTGTGAGGAAGCATTTCTTTCCCGAGATATTAAGACATTTTCCTCTTTGTTCTCAGGGGTGGACATTGATCCTATGACGCATGCCCGGAAGAAACAGCTCTTACTTCTGAAACACTCAGCTGGTTCTGCTGGCCAAGCTTTGTCACCAATTGACGGTGAAAAAATGGATAGGACTGAGACGGAGGATAGCGAGCAAGGAAATGGCACAGAGGGGCAAAGCTGCCAGAGTAGATTTGCAAGCATGAATAAAAGCAGAAATTCACAAGAACTCAGAAAGACGTACCCATTGAGGAGACGGCTCAGCTCATCGCTGGATAAAAAAACATGCTCAGTGATCCTCACAAGACTGGAGGATGTTGCTGGTTCGCTGTCCCCAGAGTCTCAGAGCGGGATGAAAAGAGGCCTCACCACTTGTATGGATGACTTTAGACCTGCTTGCTTTCCAGAACAAGTTCCAGTGGTGGGAGCAGGAAAGCATGATTCTTCCATGGGAAAATGCACAATATCGTGTCCAGGAGCTGAGCAGGAGGGGCGCAAAGCCTTTTTTGCAGAACCTAGGAAGCGGAGGCTTGCTTCCCTGAATGCTGAGGCTGTGAACAACCTGCTTTTTGAACGGGACGATGGCTTATTGTCTGGTCGGCGTTTTCGAAAAGATTCCCCCAAAGTCAGTGGAGTTTGTTGCACTAATAGCATATGTTGCAAAGCTGAGGTTGGGTGGGCCTTGGTGGAAAAGCGGAGCTCTAAAACAGTGAAGGGAAAGAACCAAAACAGATCAAGTCTGAAGTGTGTTCCTTACAACCAGTTCTTGGATGATGTCTTTGAAGGGAAAAGACGGGAGGATAGTGGGATTTCTTATCACCCTGCCCCGAAGAGATTAGCTAGTCTCAATGCTGCAGCTTTTCTGAAACTGACACATGAAAAAGACCAACCACTGAAGCAGAGGAGTAAGTCGACTGGAGAAGGCAAGTCTGAAAACCTCAGTTCCAAATCAAAGCTCAAGTGGGCCAAAGCCAGTGGAAAGAACTGTGTTAAATCCAAAAAGGAAACGTCCACTATAAGAATAGAGGGTCAGCACAGCTGGCAAGGAGTCCCTGAGAGTGCATTTGGAAAAGTAGTCCATCAGGATTCTCCTAGAATTTATCGGAAAACTGAAGCTATCAATTATGAATCATTACCTAACCCTTGTGATGGCACAGAGGGTTTCTATCACAGACTGCCTTTGCTAATGGGTGGGCAAGCTTCCATGAAGCCTGAATATGGAAGGCCAGGAGAGAAATCTCCTACCCCAAAACAGGAATTTCATCAGCCTTCCTTCCCAGTACCTCAGTTCCATCCTTTGCCTATGCCAGGAAATCCTCCAGATTGTGGCTGTCTCTACGAATCGTCGGACTTGACTCCATTGAATGGATTTTATGTTTATTATGGCCAAAGCGGATACAATACTTACACTCATTGCTCCGTTTACCCGAAGGATGACTTATCGCAGGCAACGGGTTGTGAGGGGCTTTTGGTATCTCCAGGTTCCTTACCATCAGACCCCTCATTTCAGCCATTTCACTGGTGTAACTCTCCATACTGTTGTGGGGAAGGACCGACAATTAACAGTTACAGCCTTTGTGGAGTTATGCATGTACCAGAAAGCAGAATTGGTAGTGTGCATACAGGGCGGAATGGCTACCCTTATAAGATGCCTTTTGCAGCAGGTAAGTCTTATAACACAGGATTCCTCCTGACCTTTCTGCAATTTCATATATCTACCTGGAATGTACATGACAATACAGACTGGAATGTAAAGGACCTAGAATAGTACACAAGAGAGATTGTTGTGCAGGACAGAGACTGTTGTGTCTGTGTAAGGAAAGCTTGGGGTTCTGCAGGCCATTCAAACAAGTCAATTGATAGAAATACCCCATTATGCAAAGCTGCCACCCAAATATATAGATTTTTAGAAGGAAGGTGACTGTGTTTATTTAGACATAGATGTTGAGCATTCCTGACATTGATTGAGCTCTGTTAGAACCTCCCCTTGAGGGAAATCTTTGTACCTCTTTAGGGCCATGGTTCGGCTGCAGGTCACTGTAGAATATGGTGGGGAGGACATTCCCTGCTCACTTCAGGGACATAACTTTGCAGTCTGCGCACTTCAGGTGGCAGCCATAGCCTGGCGCTGATGGGATACAATTTCAAGTTAGGTTCGTTGCCTTTTTAAAAGTCTTCCTTGGAAAGGCTGGCGTTGCATAGCTGTGACTATGAAGGTCCCTTTTCTCCAGGCGCCTGAACATCCTGTGTCAGATTTCTGGGTGAAGTCCTTGCCAGCTCAGAAACACCACTCAAATGCATTTAGAGTGGAGGGTATGTTGACAATATATTGGTGCTTTTCTCTCTGTGTCATAGGATCTTCTTAAGCTTTATAATCTGGTCCATCTGAACAGCTCAAAGAAGCACAAGAAATCTTATTTGAGCAATTAGGGTTTTTGTTTTTTGTTACTTCATGATTTAAGTGAGTGGAGAATGTATCTAGGATCCCGTGCACTTTTTCTGTATCCCTCCCCAAGTCTGGTACCTATAAATTTGATTTTGACTTCAAGATTTCTGAAATATATTCCCTTTTATGCCTCCCAGTGGTGCCAGTTTCGCTAGTAAATGGAATTCTCCACAAAGCAAGATAACACCATAATGATGAGGTCAAACCCACCTCACTGCAGCAAGGGACCCAAGCAGTATTCCAGCACAGTCCCTCACTGGGCATGGTTCTCCCCTTCCATTTGTGGTGGAGGGAAAGTACATGAGGATTCCTGGTGGACATTCTGAGTCACGTGCTGCACTGGAACATTTTCAGTTTTTATTGGAAAAACTTCTGATGCCCTATGGCAGGGGTAAGCAACATGTGACCTGCAGGTGGCCCACATAGGCATTCTTGCCTGCCACCACTAAATTTGCAGTAGTAAAACTTAATTTTGCAAGGAAACAAAGTGCACATTCTCTGTGGTGCAGGCGTTTTTTCCTTCTCACTGCTGTGCCAGCAGGAAGGGGTGTGTAACTCTCAGCGTGGGGACAGAGTGGCTGTCTCATTCCTGAAAGTTGCCTGCTGTTGCTCTAAAGAGTGGCCCAATTTAGCGTGTTTATTTCACTTGTATATACTTAACAATACTGAAAGGAAGATAAAACTTCATATAGCACATAGTTAAACTTGGGAACTCGTTACCATAAGCTGTAGTGATGTCCCTCAGTTTGAATGGCTTCAAAAGGGATTCAGCACTTTCCTGCAGGATAAGACTATTTAATGACTGCTGCTGCTGCTATTATTATTTGTTATGTTTAATCCCATACACCAAATAACCAAAGCACTACTAGCCCTGATGCCTGATCTCCAATTTTGGTGACAACATGCCTGTGTATACGAGCTGTTGGGAGACATGACCGGAAGCATGCTCTTGCACTTAGGTCCTTACATGTTTGCCACTGGTTAGCCACTATGGAAATACAGCGCAAAACTAGACGGGCTGTTGGTCTGATCCAGCCCAGCTACTCTTACATTCGTAAAGCAAACAAAACACAGAAAGTGTTACATTTTTGGTTCCAGTTGAGCACGAATATTTAATCTGAAATTTTTGAGGAAAAAGATAAAAGAACACAGTGTCATTTCAGTGTTATATGGTACAGATACTCTAGTTGGAATACTTGTAAACATTTAAAAGCCATAGCGTGTATTTACTTTACATTGTTTACATTTAAAGAAGACATGTAAGTTCCAGCAACTCAGAATTGCGCATGCTATGCTGACAGCTACTCACCTGTACCTTTGACCCTACCAAGCTCACGTAGTATTGTTTGCAATTGGTATTCATTCATTGTTACCAATGGACTTATGAAATAAAAAATACCTTTTCTTTTGGAAAGTTTTCCACTCCACATCCATGATGATTTGACTTTAAAATACACTGTGCTCCTGCCTGCCCTCTCCAGCTTGAAAACAGAGGAGAAAAAATGCAGCACAATAACTACACAAATGTTACTAGCTGAGCTGTCTTCACTTACTTAATATAACCTAAAAACAGGGAAAATACTCCCCCCCCACACACACACACACAAAGGTTCCTTTCCTGGCTTCTTCCTCTTCATGAGTCATGGGTAAATAGGAGGCTGCCTTGTATTGTGTAAGACTCTTGGTCCATCTCTCCCAGTATGGCCAACCTTATTTGCAGCGGCTCATAGTAGCTCTCCAGTAGTTTAGGCAGGTGTTTCTCCAGGCCTGCCTGGAGATGCCAGAGCTCGATCCTGGGGCCTTTTCCCCAGGAAAAGACTCTACCATTGTGACTTGAGCCCCTTCTTAGTTATTAGGCATGGGGCCATTTACAACTCCTGCAGCTAAAAAATTTTCTCAGTACTACTTTGTGTGTTTCTGTGCACACTTGAGGTTTTGGGATTTCCTTCCCTTAAGAGGCTTGTGTGAGCATGAGCTCTCACTGCAGAGAATTCCCTGAATTTAGAGATCAACTTCTGGAGGGACATTTTTGGACTGCAGTAAGGACAGGATGCTCAAAAGTCTCAGTATGGTTTTTAGAACCCTATATTTTTAATAGGAAAACAAAGTTAGTTAAAAGTTCCTCTCCATACCGCTCACTTATTATCATCATCTCCTGCACTCAGCTTGCCTCCCTCGCCTCTCCTCCTTCCCCTGAGCTAAAATGGTTCTCGGGTGAATTACAGCTCCTTTATAGGATGGTTACGCACACATTTATAGCATGCCTGCTAATTTCACCCACTTGTAGATTTCTGAAATACAAGGATAGCCAATTTTGAATCAAAATCTTCCATTTATTATTAGGAACTGAATTAAAATACATACTTATTGGTTGTTGTGGCCATATATAACATACATGTACATAAAAACTGGATGGAGCCTTTTTACAGCTTCAGAATATGGTATATGTTCCTTCGATAATAAGCTATTTTAGAAAAATGGTATGATTCATTGTTTATTTTTAGATAACTGAAGGCTAATAATCCTGTCAAGCTGCACTAGAATGGCACTCACACATATAGGACAAGCGTTGTATCCTTTGCCTCATGAATTACTTGCTTTGCCCTGTATACTTCCCATGTGTGCATGGATAAAAAAATAGATAATTTTGACCAAAGCAACTACTAGGTAGTAGTTACTGAGCAAATCCTGTTCTTCATGAGTTCAAAGCAACATGTTCTTCAATTGGAACAGTGGCTAGTTTCACATGACACAACACTCCTTCAAGGGTGACATGGAAACTATTTCCTGCAGGGTGTCTTGTTCAGTGATGATAAGCACCTGACAAACCATGGCTTCTTTTAGGGGCTGTTGTATTCTCAGTGGGTGGTTGTGTCATTACAACACAGATGAGTGACCCCATTGTGGGTACTGAGAAGCATCTAGCAAGTGGCAAGAACTCCTTGCTGCTTTTGCCAAGCTCCCATGCACCTGCCAGTCCACTGATGCCAGAAGAAAACAGTGGAGCAACCATCACTGCTTTGCGGTTCCCTACCACAAGCACAAGCTGTTTTTCACTCACTGCAGCTCTTCCCCTCAGAGACTGATTGATGGATTTGACTGATTTATTCAACTTACATTCCGCAATTAAATTAGTCCCAAGGACTCGCTAAATGGATTACAAAAATACCAATAAAAACAGCATCTCATAATAAAACATATAGACATGTAGCAATAACAAGGCACAATATGCAGCTGAAGGGACAGATATAAATAGATTAAAACAATATATTAAATTAAAGAACAATATAAAACAGTGTCATTAAAATTGAACAAATGTAAAATCAATTATTAAAATCATTTACTAAAATGTTTGGAGAATAGGATCATTTTCAGCTGGTGCCAAAAAGATTGTAATGATGGCACCAGGCGAACTGTTCTTGGAAGACTGTTCCATAGATGGGGCGCCACCACTGAGAAGGCCCCTCTTCTATTTGCCATCTTCCTTCCCTCCTTGAAGGATGACTCTCCCAGAAGGGCCTCCTCACCTGATCTTAGGGACCAGGTAGATACAGATGGGAGCAGGCAATCATTCAGGTATCCTGGCTCCCAATCCTGCCTTTCACATTGTTTCTCATGGTCTCTCTGCATCACACATAAGGACTTGGGCATTTACACAATGCTGACAGGCAGTGACAACCCCTTAAAAGTTCCCAAGTGAGACATTGGAAGCACTGTCACTGGTCCAACACCTTGTTTGCTTATTCATTTTCATGTACAAATATGTTTATATCTTTAAAAAGAAATCTAATCAGACTGTCAAAGTTCAGGCTTCCTTTCAAATGGGAGTTTGACAGGGCTAACATGGATTTTAAAAAAATGGGAACAGAAGCATATGCATATAAATATATGACCCTTTGAAGAAACCTTCTCAAAACCTCCATTTTAAAAGGAAGCCCATGGTTTATCATGGTTTATCAACTACCTACCTATGCTTCTGTACAAGGCCTGCATTTTTGCACATCTCTCATCACTTAGGAGTGTTGGGAAAGGGTGCAAAAGATGCAGGACACTGAGTCAGCTCCAGCCAAAAAAAGGTAGAAAATGCCTTTGCAAGGGGAATGATCTAGTGGGCACCTCCTTGCAGAAGCAAATATCACTCAAGGCTTTGCTTTCCCTTGGCAGTCCATTTTTTAACAGCTGTTAGTGGGAAAAGCCTAGATATAAACCCATTTATAT